ACTGATTGGTTTTGGAATGATAAATTAAAAGCCAATATTAGCCCAGTGTGATCGGTCATTACTCCATTAGATGGGTTTAATATTTAGGTGTACTTTGCGTCCTTTATAAAAGTGTATGCCTCCTCACCTGTGATGTGCCTATGCCAGGGTGACGCCCGTTATCTGATCAGCAACTCGAAGGACCAGTCCATCAAGCTCTGGGATGTCAGAAAGTTCTCGCCCAAAGAGGGGTTAGCAGCCTCCCGCCTGGCTGTCACACAACAGAACTGGGATTACCGCTGGCAGCAGGTTCCCCAGAGAGGTGAGAAAGAAGTGAGGGAACTCACTCAAGAGCTATTGGCACTGAATAACACAGGTGGGAGGAAAGGAGGAAGACAAAGTGACATCATCACAGAAGGGAGAGGGTACCAAGGATAAAAATGTTAACCTTGGATTTGTATGTATGTGGGGGGTAAGGGGATATGGTAGCACTAAATGATCAACAGTAAATGGACAACAGCGCTTCTCTAGTCTTCTGACTACTCAAAGTTTACCGACGATGTATCCGAGTATAATTTACATGAGGTTTTTATCACAGCAGCACATACGACAGCTTTCAGTAGGAATTACCCGCTTTCTCATGTGGCTGTCTTTGAAGCAGCACCCGGCGTTTCCATGGCAACGATAAACATGTTGTGTCTGTCATGGCGGCTCTGTCATTGCGGTGGCCACGACAAGACACTTCCCATTACAACTATGACATTACGGATTTCTCTGGCTTTGATAACTGTTGGAAATATTTGAGGTAATATTAAATATTTAAATATGTAAGTACTCAACGAAAAAAAAAATATATAAGAAAGGCTTCGTCAATTTTTTATAATTTAGATATTTTAGGGTAAAAATTCTACATACTGTACATTTAAATCTGTATTTTTGGGTACATTTGTTGAAACTGCTTTTCTGGGGTATTTCACTGATGATTGTAGAGGGGATTTCTGAGAATACTGCTTGTTTTAACTTTCCAGCTCTGAAGAGACACAAGCTGACCGGCGACACCTCTGTGATGACCTACCGCGGCCATGGCGTTCTGCACACCCTCATCCGCTGCCGTTTCTCCCCTGAGTTCAGCACGGGACAGAGGTTCATCTACTCGGGCTGCTCCACGGGCAAAATCATCAGTGAGTCTTACCCTGTCTCTCTGTGCTATGTGTAGTCATATTATTGTGGAAGATAAATGATGTGCATGATTAAATCGACATGTTGATCAAAACATCCGTTCGGGTTTTTAAATAAATGAAACTCTTTGTGTGTGTGTCCAGTCTATGACGTGCTGACGGGCGCTGTGGTCTCCAGACTGTCAGGCCATGATGCATGTGTGAGGGACGTCAGCTGGCATCCCTACGAGGACAACATCGTCAGCAGCTCTGTGAGTGCTGTTAATGCAAACTGTTAAACCAGAGGCAGTGTGAAAAACGTGTCACCATGAATGTAACATACAATTTAAACATGATGTTTCAAAGACTAAAATGCTTTAATGAGGAGACACCAGGCAGCGTTTTTTTGAAAGTGAAAGAAATTAGAGAAGTTGATGAGATTTCTGATTTAAAAAAAAAACACATAATGGATTATTTACAAAATACACGTATATTATATTGACTTTTAAACAGTTCTCTCTCTCTCTTTGCTGTGAACACAATCATACTTTTTACTCATAGCTGGACAAATATAAGTTATCTTAAGTTGTTGCCCTCCACTGGAGTAAAAAAAACATCTTACACATTGTTGATGAAACTGCAAATAAGCTGGCAGAAAGAACTGCAGGACTCTTGACGTCGTCATCTTTACAGGTTCAGTAAAGCCACACGATGATGATGTTACATGGCCAATGAAAAATAGCGTTTATTTCAATAAAGTTCAAAAACACCTGTATGAAGACAACGACTCCAAGACATCTCAGCTTAGCATTTGATAACATTTGTTGCAGAAGATTATCAAAAGTATTTCAGCTGGCCAAAGTTCAGTGTACATTTGTTCTCCATTGTAATGGGTAGACGTAAAAGGCAACTCATATGACAACAGAATTTTTCAGCTTAAACAATAACCAGAACTTCCACCAGATGTGTTTTCAATGTGTGTCAGCTCTGCTCCGGTACGGCTCCATGCTCCATCGTCCCTCAACACCCACAGGCTTTGTTCTCAGAGCGCAGTACGGTACGGCTGGACAGCTGAGTCCCGAGACCAAGAAGTTCCTGCAATAATTACACACGACGAGATAATACGATGTATGCGTTATAAAACCATATAAAACCCTTATAAACACATCAACAAACACATACGGGCATCCTTCCCAACCGTCAAAGCGTAGTGTTTTATTCTGAAAATAAACCGGACGTCTTCATGTTGCTTTGGCGTCTGACTTCCTGTCCCACTTGGTCCGCTTTGTGGTAAATTGATGCGCCGTGCTCCAGTTAAAAAAAAAAAAAAAAAAAACAATCAGCTCTGCTGCTGTGACGGAGTGGAGACAGACAACACGCATCAGGTGGAATTAAGCAGTAGTTAAAAGTTCTACGTAAGCCCTGTGACTTAATCGTGCAGCAAAGTCAAGAACCAACCTGTTTAAAACTGGGGGTTACAAAGTGAACAGTTTTTTTTTTTATCTTAAATAAGTAAAAGATTCCAGTAAATGTTGTAAATCCTGGAGAATTGTAAGTAAAGAGAAACTTCTTCTTCAGCTTCTGTGGAGATCTCGTAATAAACGTATTCACCTGTGTTTCTCCACAGTGGGACGGCGCGGTGCGCATGTGGGAGCACAGACAGACCCATCCTCTCGAGGAGGAGAGAGAGGGAGAGAGACTGACAACGGGAGAGAAAGTCCTTTGAGACGGCGAGAAAGGAAGAAAAAAACAAAGATAAAAAAAAAAAAAAAGCCAGAGGAGGCGGCATATCCACGGAGGGCTCGAGGCTGGCCCGTACAGAGGAAAACAATAAGCTGAACTGGGAGAGACTTTCATTACTTTTTAAATTCAATGCTGGATATTCATTATTACATTAATTGAGTGGTTGTTAGTTGTTCGTTGAGAAGGCATTATAGCCTTACACTGTCATGGACAGACGGGCACAGTGGGACGGCCTACTTCTTTTTTCAGTGTTTTTTTTAATGGCCTGAATCCACGTCACAACAAAAATGTGCTTTAGCTCTTAACGCCAAGCACTGCACTTACTTAAAGAGCATCTGAAATTAAAAGGTAAGCTAGTCATTTGGAAAAATCAAAAAGTTGGATATTGCAGGATGAAACTTGGGGATGATTCTGTATAAATGTAAAGTATTTTAATGGTATGTGTGTTCAGGGAGTGTATTTAGATAGTTGTTAGGTTTGCCGGCTTGGACTCACTTTTGACTGTGCTGTCAGGATTACATGAGCGGAGTCTTCTTTGAAGGCCTGTCATGTTCAGACGCCACCTTTAAACACCCCGTATATTCAAAGAATCTAGCACATCATTTTGCCACACTGAAGGCACAGCTCCCAAAGTCTGCTGTCCTGGAGTAAACAATTGGTCGGCCACTTGGTAAGCTGTAGAAAAGGACACTTAACTAGAGGTCAGCATGCAAGTTGACCAGGATGCTGAAATGTTTTAAGTGTTTAATCACAAACGATTGTACAGTAGTTTCTCTCTAGACCACCTTAAGTCTTAAGGCAACCCTTCCCCCCCCGACTCTGTAAACACAAAGCCCTGAGCCAACTTAAAACCCAGGCTAATTTTTTGTGAGCCAATATAAACCTGTGATCTGTTTCAAAGATTTGAATGTTTATGATACAATGTTTAAGACGTGTTAAAGGGACTGGGGATGTGTGCGTGAATCAAAAGTTACACACTGATCTGTATTATGCAATCTTCAGGGGTTTATATCAAAGCTCATGTTTCACTCTCAGACCGTTGTTTTACGGTAACAATAAAACCTCTCTTTAAATGTATCACCGATGAATGCAAGCTTGTCTACTTTGGCTTTTTTACTGTTGCTCACATTATGAAGGGCTTGAAGAGCAAAGTCTACAGAGGAACGTTTCTTTGTACGCTTTCTTAAGTGGTGTCACAGCAAACATTTGAGAGAAAGCTAAAAATAGTTCAAACTTTTCCTCTTTCACTTAAGTTCTTTGTCCCATTGGCTAAAGGAAACTGTTACATGTGTGTGTTGACAGTGGCATATAACAGACAGCTGGTTATTAGATGCTAACAGGGACCATAGAAAAGTCATGTGAGGGTCATTTAACTGAGAGAAATGCGGTTAGTGGTCTAACATGAGTCTGTCATGTCTGGTTTCTTCTACACTGGCGAGTGTTGTAGTACTCCAGTTCGGTCTTGGTCAGAAGATTATTGCTACTTTTCCACGACATGGTCTTAACGCAGTCTTGATCCCTGAATGTCTTGGTCTTGGAGCACTAAGGTCTTGGGGATTCTCGGTCTCGGTTAGTGTGGTCTTGACTACAACACTAACACTTTGATTTGCGATCATTTGGTAGGAAGGGGAGGTCACATTCCAATGAAATCACACAGCAAAGTAAACACAACTGCTTCTCCAATTAATTGGTTTTAATGGGGGGTTGGGGGGGGGGCAGGATTTTGCTACAGCTGAAAAGGCAGATAGGGAGTAGTAACAGCTTATAAAATAAAAGCACACAGGATGTCCTAAACAAACTAAAAGCACCTCTTCACACAGAGACTGCAGTAGTGTCCCTGGTTGCATGGCTTTGGGGTCTGTATAAGACTGCATGTCCTGGCCTCTGAAAACCGCTCAAGCGTGTTTTATTGAGCATAAGTCCCACAGAAAGACTAAATGTACTTGATTTGGCACCGGGAGTTAAAGAGGTGTAATCAGCCCTGGCTTGAAGAGAGGGCCTGGAAATAAAGACTCAAGGGTGTTGAGAGAAACGCAGCTGTTCGTGGCGCCAAATGCAGGCTGGCAACAGTTTAAAACTTAAATTAGTATTGGCTCCAACAGCTGATTCTAAGAAAGGAGGGACTGAAGAGAACCAAACAAGGAGCCAAATGAACCATTTCATGTGAGAATGATCTTCAGTGCGAGATGAGACACGTTTTTTTTTGGATGTTCGGCGCAAATGTAATTGAATGCATCACACCAGTATGTCTGATTAGAGGTACTTGTTTGAGGCCACTGTGCACAGTTTGGGGTTCATTTTCAAAGTCACAGATTTAGCAGTCCATAATCAGCCACCGTCTAGCAGCATGAATCTCCAAATGCTTTGGAACATGGAGAAGAGAATAATGGGGTCAGTAAGAGGAGCAGCCATTATCATGTCCACACTCTGAGTGTGTGTTGAGGGGGGAGGGCTTTAGGGGCGAAAGGGAACAGAGGGATTGTATTTTTATAACCATGTGCTCTCTTGCACGCCTGACAGTGATAAAGTAGAAAGGCTCCAGAGAACAACTGTCCTGCCTTTCACAGGCGAGGAGAAGTGAGGCAGACTACAGCACACAGGCTCTCGTTGGGACAAAAACAGACAAGGAGAGCAAAACTTCTCCAACTTCTAAAAAGCTCCACCAGGAATACCAGCAGCGCAGACAAACATGGATGTAAAGATTGAAAAGTCGTCAAATGGCTTCACACCAGATATCAACTTGGAGAAGTTATGCAAGTCAGCTGCAGAGCTGATAGTGCCAGGAAACGTCATCCTCAGGCTGCTGACTGCTGCTCTGGTGTTTGTGACGGACGTGCTGGCCAGACTTTTTGGAAGCAACCTGGTCAAAAGACATTTCCACTTGATGCTGTCTGCCTTGGTTCTGTTTGGTCCTCTGTTGAGTTTCTGGGTGTCAAAGTATAGCATCTTCGCTAACAGCAATCACTACCTGTACAGGTGAGATCTCTGGAATATCTAAAGGGTGATGGTTGTGTTGATGCTTTTACCTGAAATTTCACAGTGACAAGTAGCTGCATATGAAGGAAAGTATTGTACAAAGTGAAGCATGATTTGAACTACATTCAGCTAAAAAAATCTGCCCTGTCATAATCCCAAAGATCATTAAGTCAATTTGACATTTCTTCAGTTTAACTTTTAAATACAAGTTCTGGTTTACTTCTAAAGTATACGCGGTGAATATTTCACATGTTAACAGCAAGAATAACAAACTGACTGTACTTAAAAAGAAAAGACAGATTCTTTGTTTTCCAACATGGGGGAATTTGTGTAGCAGCAGAGCACACAGACGACAACATGTACAAGCACAACATCAACAGTGAAATCTAAATGAAGAAAATCTGAACACAACACGATGTGCAACAATATAAAACATTGCAGTAAAATCAGTCAAGAGCTCATACCTAAATTGACATTTTTACTAAGTTATGTAAAGTGCAATATGGATGTGTGCAAATGTGAAATTAAAGTGCACATTTTTGCACTTAAATTGCACATTTGCACCTACAAGATCATTGTGATGTATATTCTCTGTATACCTTCATCATTTCTACAGCCAGAGTCTGAAACTACAAACTTGTCTACTGGTCAACAGCTGATTTTAAAAGCAATAAAAATGAACCATTCAGTGGTTTTCTTAAACCGCCAATAAACACTAGCATGTTGGCAAATGATGACTAAAAAAGAGCAGACTTTTACTGACTCCTCTCTTCATGTGCCACTCTAATGGTTTAACTTTAACCATGACTCCTGCAGTGATTAATGACAAGTGTGGCGATTGTTAGTTCACAGGTTTTTAACTAACAGAAAGTTTTCAGTTGGAATTTTAAATTAAAAGTATAATCACATTATTTTTGAAGGATACTCTGCTCAGTGACCGGGCAATTAAAAAATATATATTCAATTTTTGCATTAAAACAGCTTGATTAGTACTTTCCTTGTGATTTCTTAATACAGAAAAAGTTTAAACAATTGTTATTTTTTTCACAACATGTCAATAGATAACTTTCTAACTGCACATATGAAGGGATATGAAATTATATCTAAATGAGTACCACTTCATCTAATTTTTAACCTCACATAATTTATGATGTGAATCTCTTAGTCAACCTTCCTTTTAAAAAAAAAAAACGTCTGTGTGGATGTAATAATAATAAATAAATAAGACTGAGCCTTGAACTTTCAGGCTTCATTCGTTCTTCAGGATGCTAGAACTGGTTATTTTCATGGCAGAAGTCATTCTCATGGTTTCAATTTTTTTTTTGTACAAACAGGAAGTTCCTGAAGTCCACTTGGGGTTGGACGTGCATCTTCTCAGGTTCCTTCACCCTTCTTCTCTCCACCTCAGCCCGTCATCCCCCCTCTCTCCTACTTCGCCACCTCTCTCGGGTAGGGGTTGTGGGGTTGCTCTGGTGGGGGTCTCAGCGTATCCTGACACTGCTGGAGGATGCAGCAGGAACCTGTTATGAGCCTATAACGCCTGATCAAGATACCCAAGGTACTGCCTTCTCAGCACAGCCCCTGTTGCTTCTGCATGAGGACCAGACCAAGGCCTCGTGCCTCAGAGCCAACATGGTGTGGAGAGGTTATGAAGTATCCCAGGACATCCTCATCCTCTGCTTGTGTTGCCTGCAGCTTGTGGAGGAAGTGTCCGTCTTTGGCCGTCACCTAGCTCAAACAAAGCCTCTGCAGAGGTCCTCATGTGGGCCTTTAAGGTTCATCTTCCTCCTGTGTGTAGTCCTACTCACTCTTTGGATGTTCCTGCTGCTGTGTTTGCTTGCACACTTCCCCAAGTTCCCCTCCCAGCAGCTAGGGGGAGCTCTGGGCTACCTGGGATGGAGAGGACTCTATCAGGGATGGTACAGACTGAAACCGGGCTGGGGCTGCCCTGGTTTGCCAGAAGGACATTTTAGCGTCACAGACATTCAAAAACACTCTCAATAATTATGAAACCTTCAGTTGATGGTTTTTTTTTGTATGTTTTGTTTTGTATGTGATCTTGAAAGCTAAGCTACAAGGTCAAGAAAGTCAAAATGACCTCTCATTAGTGTTGAGAAATTTTAAACACCCTTGTCTATACTTCACATCTCTTGAAGAATATGCAGGAAGCTGTGATTATTGGTCAATACTCTTAAAACCCACGTTTCAAAAACCTTCAGACAAAAGTAATTTTGTAATAGGAATCGTGTTTTATTTTGTAATAGGAACCAAAATGAATGCACAATATGAAATTGAAGGTTTTTATTTCAAGTTGGTGTATTGTAACTTGATAAGCGTGCCATACTAAACTAGCTGTGTCTTGTTAGAAGAAAGCCTGGGTGTGCTGGCTTTCAGTCTCAGTAGATGAGAGCCTTGCCGTCTCCTCTGGGCTTCTTAATCTTGTTGTAGTTCTTGTTAATGATGTCAAACAGCACAGCCTGAAGAGAGAGTGACACGGGGGAGCGACATCAGGGGAAATGTAGCAAGAGGCGCATATAAGAAAGACAGACAGCACGGGAGAGAGACAGAAAGGTTAGAGGCTATTATAAATAAGAAGAGACGTGCAGTTCCAGAGCTGTTAGACTGACACACAGCTGCTTTCATCATCACCTGTACTGCCTTGTTCATTAACAGCATCAAACACAGGGGGGGACAATAGCAAGAGGAAGGAGACAAACAGTGACTAATGGGTGGGAGATGCGGCTCCAATCAATTTAACACGAGCGCAGCAATTACTTTAATTACCCTCCTATTAAGAAGGAATGGATTCCATTTAGCCGCTGTCCCTGCTGCTGGGACATGGCAGGAATATTTAATAGACGTGTGCATAGTTTTATTTAGAATACAGTGTGTCATAACAAGACATGGAATATTAAGTCTGACACGTTAACAATATCACATGGTCATTCTTAGAGAAGTGGTGACAGTTTTCCTACATTTTAAAATTCAATTAATTTCCTTTTTTTTTTTTTTTTTTTCAGTTTCCAAAACAAAAACACAAACATGCTTCACAACCTTTTTAAATAAAACAAACCCCTAAAAGTAAACAGTAGCCGAGATGGGGTCTTACATATGTGTTGCGGATGTCCAGGACCACAAGGCGGAGCTCCCAGTACTGATACTGGTCCAGCTCGTGAACCAGCTGTCTGTAGTCTCCCTGCCGCAGAGAGCACACAGAACACAGAGTTGATATGCAAGATCATACAAGACATGGCACGTCCGGTGTGTACCCAATTTGTCGGAGAGCAGAACATTGCCGTAATAGCTTTTTATTTTACACACAAAGCAAAGAGTACAGTCTGCAGATGGCACCACGATGAACAGCCTTGTTTTATGTTCATTTCTGAAATCACTTAGATCAATATAACACCAACACAAATATTACAGCGTGCCGCTCTGATCAAGACACCAAACACGAGATACTGACCACATGGGATTGTTTGGCAGCTTTGGCCACAGCGTCACCTCTCTCACTGTAGTATCTGACAATCAAAAGACAGACAAGTCATTGCTTTGTAACAATCTACCTAATTTAAAAGCACTCAGCAATTTACAATGTTGTTAAATGATGGTTAATAATCTCAAATGCAAATGATTGGCATGACTGAGTCCCTACTACTAGCTGCAAAGAAAGAGCTATTACAGTATCAGCCAACCCCTGTGCAGATGTGTGTGTGTGTGTGTGTGTTTGGATGGACATGAACAACTTCATCATCACACATAAAAAAAAAGAGTTGCATCTTGTAATTCTCCCTTCACCTTTAAATCAATAAAACACATCTACCACATGATATGGGCTGCAGAGCTTTGGGTTCTTACTTAGAAATCTGAGTCTGGAATCCCTCGATCTTGGTGCGCGTGTTGGTCAGCAGCTCGAAGACTTTCTCCTGTTGGGACAAGAATAATGACATCAAGTCTAATTGGACACACTTAACACAAACGGATATGCCGTACAGAAGGTGAAAATGTGGAAACGAGTGTGAGAGCGATCACACTGATTCAGACATTCCTGAGCAGATACCGACCTGAACAGCCACTCCAAAGTTGTTACCATCTTCAATTTTAGGGATCTGGAGTTGTACCCACATTGACACCTGCAAGGAAAACCTGAATTCATTCATCCTGTGTATGATACAAAAGTTACTTCATAGGCTTAACTGTTAATCTGATTTTTCCTTGAACATTTTACCGTATTTTCCGCACTATAAGGCGCACTTAAAAGCCTTTAATTTTCTCAAAAAACGACAGTGCGCCTTATAATCCGGAGCGCCTTATATATAGATCAATTGGTTAATTGGTTGATCCATACTGGTTGTACACGGCGCTCAGCGACACTGACTCGGATAATGACGAGAGGGAGCCGGGCATGTTGGATGCCGTACTCGCCCAACTGTTCAATTCGGACACTGAAGAAGAAGAATTCGAGGGATTCGTGGACGGGGAATAACTGAAAAAGTGAGCTTTACGTGTTATACGTAACTGAACAATGTTGAGTTATGCACTAACGTTTGAATTAGCGGTATCAGACTGTGTTTCTTTTACGTGTTTACAACTGAACAAGGCTGGGAGATATTGTGAATATGCACATTAACGTTTGAACAACGTTGAGTTATTGTGAATGCACTACGTATAAAACTACGTTTTGAGAGTTAAGAGAAACGTCAAAGAAATAATTTATTATTTGGGGAAATCGTCTTATGTACTTTTGTTTTTGTAGTTTTATACGTTACGTTTTATACGTATTTATATTTATATATTCACAATATCTCCCAGCCTTGTTCAGTTGTAAACACGTTCTATTCTATGCGCCTTATAATCCGGTGCGCCCTATATATGAAAACAGTTCTAAAATAGGCCATTCATTGAAGGTGCGCCTTATAATCCGGTGCGCCTTATAGTGCGGAAAATACGGTAAATATGTATTTTTTATGGCAATCCTTCATGTCTTCTCTCCTGAAACGTATAACACACCTTCATGTAAAGTAAGCCTTACTGTATTCACTTTACTCAAGTTGTGAACTAGATCACTAAGCATAGCAACATTTGGACTCATTTTCTCTCTACAAAATGAAACTGAGAGGATCATTTAAGAGGCCAACCGTGTTGAGCTTCTCCTTCAGAGTCTGGATCTGAGGCTTGACCTCATGCAGGAGACTCTCCACTCGCTCATTGCTGCAGATGGGACCACAAGGAGGCCCTGTTGGACAAGAAAGCCCAAAACATTCATTCTCTTTGTCATGATATCAAATACTCTGGGTCAGTAGGAATACGAGTTCCTATCTAATTTAGACAATGGAGGTAAAAGCTGTTTAGTGGCTCCACAGAAAATACTAATTCACTGTGATGAATGAGATAAGTGAACAAGCAAATAATGATCTCAGTTTAAGAAATGTTTGCATGCGTTACTTTCTTTCACTGAGATTTTAAATTAACACAAATCAACTTTCTGGCATATAAAACACTCCTAAATGTTTTCTACATAGACCACTTTCCTTCCATAGTAAAACAAGCTTATTATAAAGTATTTGATGACCACTCTATGAGATAATCATAAGTCTTCCACATTCAGTCTTTATGTTTCTTTTTCTGTCTCTGCAGCATCAGTCTCCTCATTTACCTGAATCTTCGTCCTCTTTATTGTCATCTTTGTCCTTGTCTTTCTTCCCTTCCTTTGCCTCCTTCTGCATCAAGGCAACAGAAGGCAGAAGAGTCAAAAGGTTTTCAAATCCTAATAATCTCTTAACCAATCACAAATGTTGGCTCTCTTTGTTTAAGAAATGTAACCTATGGCCTGTGTTTCTCAACCACAGCATTAAGATGTTAATCTTTGCTTTATTATCAAAAAACATTCGTTTGAAATGTTTCCAACATAAAACTTGAGTTCAATATGCGACATGTTAAAGTCAGCGGTTATTTTGTATTGCATGTATTTTGAATACTAGTCTCATCAAATGTTCCCTGACTATGATTTAATGGCAACAACTTAAGATTTTTTTTTTGTTTTTAAGCAAACCAATCAAGTAAAACGCCCACTCTCTGCCAATTTGTAAAACAGCCATGGAAATTTCACAGGGGCTGTTGCCATGGTGATATGGGACTCTGTGTTATGTCTTGACATCTTATGAAACGCTAAATATAAACTCTTGGCAGAGGATCCCAACTGAACGGCTTAATGCAAAAAAAAAAAAACACGCTACTGTGAAATATATCTTAAAAATATATTATTTGTCCCTTTTCCTTTAACCTCTTTGACCTTTATATTTCTTCAAATGGTATTCACTTCTAGGTCATTACAGTAAGTTGAATTTCTAATCAAAGAAATGTCTTAACCCTCCCGTGCTTCAACATGTTGGAACATTAAAGCCTGAACCCTGAACACGGGACCCACCTCCTCTTTCTTCTTGCGCTTGGCCTCCTCTTTAGCTGGGTCTGGAATGGGAATATCAAGTGGAGCCTTCAAAGACGCGAGATCGTCGCAGCTGAAAGATGTCTGACAGAAACACAAGTTAGAAAAGTTACTTCGGACAGCTTTTCTGTGATAGACACACATTTACATGTCAAGGACACCCAGCTGATATAGTCCAGAAAATCTTGTTTAGAAAAATGTGACAAAGGAACAGAAAGAGGCCTCAGGTGACCCTGACAGACTCCTGCAGGACCCTGGTTTGTGTGAGAGTCACAGATTGATACCTTAAGCAGCATCTGCAGCTCCTCAATCTTCTGTGGGAAGAATTTTGAAACCAGATCTTCTGCCTGTTATCCAAAAAATTATTATTAGGCTACTTAGCACCGACCCTCTAAATGTTATGAACTTTAATCCAGTTAGAAAATATGTCTCAGTGTTAATACATTACCTCCTTTGTGAGCTTCAGGCAGAAGTCGTCCACCTGCAGCGGAAAGATAACGTGATTAATTTATTGAGACAACGTCAAAGTATGACGGATACCCAGAAAAAAGGGAAATGACAAAACACTTTAAAGCTAATACTAACTAAGTGCTGCCCTCTGTTTACTTACCATATCTGAACAAACACGTCTGAACACCTGATCGCTGTATTTACGTATCTCACACATCGACCAGCACATTTAAAGTGAGGTGCAGCACATTATCAAATCAAGCTAGCAGATTAACGAGTTCATGTTCACCTGTTTCTTCGACTCTAGTCCGATACCAGCAGAAGCCATGTCGTCCCTGCAGAGGAAAAGTTGTTGGTTAGTGTTTCTCTAAGCCTTAAAACTTCATGAAAACTTTGAGAAAGGATTATTAGCTCTTCATTTATGTAATTCAATGCCGTGGCACAACACGCAAAGTTACTCACAGTTACTCAGCACAAAAAGCGAAAACGAAAGTAAAGCGCATTTGCAGACAGTTCCGTACTTTCCAATTTTTTTTATTCGACATCCCTGCTGCATTGTGGTACTTGTAGTTTTGGAAAGCAAAAACAAAAAGACACGTCTTGCTAATATTGTACAAGATGCAGAGCTACTTTGAGGACTATATGCTATGTACGTATTACTCTTGAATCCTGTCTTCTTCTTTTTTTTTGAAAGCATACATTGAAAAATAAACATGGAACAACATAGACATGCAGTCAAATAAACAGCTTAGTGCGTAGTGTTAGGTGAAATTGCTGTTATGTAGAAACACTTTTATTTATTCTTTCTTTATTTCGAACGATTAAAAATAGATGGAAATGAATAAACAAGTGGAAAAAAAAATCTGTATAAAATTAAATAAAAATTAAAAAGTCAATCTCAATATAATACACATTTGACTCGTTCGAAAAGGGATAGGAAGAAGCCTAGGCTTGTCAAGTCCTACCCCCATTCTTCACCATTAACAAATGCAAAATCCAATAAAATAAACTAAACGGACAATACAAAAAAAATACTCCAATCGAGCTATTAAGAAAAAACAGAACAAAACAAAAAAAAAAAGAACAAAAACTTCAGACTTTGTCCAACAACTTATTTTTTTTGGCCTATCTTGA